GCCGAAGTAGGGAGTTGTCTTAGGGTACTCCACCTTAAGCCATTGGCTAAGCAACCTTCCCGCAAGACAGCAGAGCTTTTGTGAGACCGCGTTAGTCATACCCCTAAACGTTGATCTGTCCGGTATGAGTGGCCCTGAAGGTACTGGAAAGTGCCACCTAGCATAGCTCAATGCGTCACAGAAGTACACAAACCACAGAACCACGTTAAGGTCAAGTCTCGTTGCGATGATACAAATAAGTAACCCATCGTAATCACTACACTCAACTGCATAGAGCTGACAAAGTCGCCTAGCAGCAAAATATGGCAAAAACTTCCAAGGCTAACCAAAAACTGCTGTACAAGCATATCGATGGCGGTCATAAGATGAGACAAGGAATTCCTCTGCTCCGGACGACTGATGATCCAATTAGAAGAGCTCTAGAAGCAGAAAAGCGTTGCGGACGCCATATGTTCCCACATTTCGGAGAGTCTTACCGTCAGGCCATCTTCCGACTTTTGTTTTCCCGCCTCCAGGACTCACCCACATCTCTTTTACTGCCAAAGCTGTATTGCAGAAGCTGATGTCTCTGCGCAAACACAGCTCCCCGTGCGCCAACAACATTCTCCCAGCGGCACTGGGAGCAGTTGCAAGACAACTGGCAAATTCTTCGGCTCAGTTCTTTCAGCGCTGCTTAGCCCAGAAGCAGATTCATGCGATGTGAAAGTGTGGAATAATAACTCAGCTTCATAAAACCAGTAGCAGGACTGAACCCTCAAACTACCGCCCAGTGTCGCTTCTCGTTTTATTATCCAAATTATTGTAACCCATCTTTGCTGACGCATTGTGTTATCTAGAAAACTAACTTTATTGCACCCGAGCAACACAATTTTTGTCGACAGCGAGCTTGCAACCGTGTGACCACGTGTGACAGCGTGACGCGCGCTCCTGGATAATTGTGTTGCTTCTCTCTATTCGCCTTCCATTTTGTGCTACATCTTCAGAAGTACACTCAATCGTCTTCGCTCGTCGAGACCTATCCAACGGATTCAGTCTTTCTGCAGTACTACTAACGACACACTGGTAAATCCTGAACACCGTCTTTGACAGATCATTCGGTAAGACCTGCTTGTGAAACTGCGTTGTTTTTTATTTTTCCCACTACATTGGGATACCATTCGACGGAGCTATTTTAAGGCTACTAGACAACATCTTACTTATTGTAGTGCACCTCTAGATACCACAAATAGAGGCTATTTTTGATCACGCAATTACCGCTGTAACTCCCTTAGCGCGTTTTGACACGCAAAGCCCTTGTGATATTTCAATGCCAACTGTTCCTCGTGTGTCAAGATGGCCGACGCAGTGTCTCATGCTACGCCAATGAACAACAAATCCAAGGTCATTAGCTGGTCCAGACACGTCGGTCACCAATGCCCGCCTTTGTACCCAATTCCTTCGATGGGGCTACAACACACTGTATGTCGATCGACGACTTGTGTGTGTGTGGCGCATGTTCAACCAAACCGTTGGCTAGGGTCATTCAAGCGCTTATGGCGAAATATATATATATATTATACACAATCTGTGGTACAGATATTGTGCCATTGGAATCATGACTTAATAGGAACACAATATGAATAATAAGAAAAGAGCAAAAAGAAATGTTTTTTGTCAAGTTTACCACTCACAGTTTTTGAAATCTTTTTCAGTTTGTTCTTTTTTAGGGGGAGGAAGAAGGGACACCGCAACACGCTGACGCACACGTCCGCCATTAACATCGATCTTTAGCCATAACTTCCAAGGTTTTCAACCAGCAAGTATCCTCATCTCTCGGACCCCAACTAGGTAGTCGACAACAACCGGCCGAGGCCAATTGTTTCGTCAACTTTTTCATGCGGCTTCTCCATGTTGTAGGCTGTCCACCAGACCGTCTCTTCCAGCCCTGTCCAGCAACCGCAAACAACGCACGACGGGGGTAACGCTGGACAGGCATGCGCAATACGTGTCCCAACCACTGCAGTTGATGCAGTGAGATGAGCTCCTCGAGCGAGTGGCTTCCACGTCCCAAGACACGCTGTCTAACTTCCACATTGCTTACGTGGTTCTGCCACCACGCACGGGCAATGGACCGCAGACAGCGGTGCTCGAAGGCCGCTAGCCTGCGCAAGTCATCTTTACGAATGGGCTAGGTCTCGCATCCGTACAACAGTACAGCACGAACAGTTGCACAATAGACCCGCCCTTTGATGGAGAGACGAATGTTGTGGCGACGCCACAAATTCCTCAGCCTAGAAAAAGCGAGGCGTGCTCTCGAGATGCGCATCGAAATCTCGTCTCCAAGAGCCCCGCCAGCAGTGATGCAACTTCCCAAGTAGACGAAGCTCTCCACAACCTCCAGTGTCTCACCAGCAAGCGTGAGTGCAGGCAGAGGCACCTGCCAGTCTTGAAGGAGAGCCTTGCATTTGGATGGCGAAAAGTACATACCGTACTTTGATGCTTCAACCGTCAAGCGGTTATAATGCAAGTTGGACGACCTGTGGATCGTCACCCAGCAAGACGATATCATCAGCATAATCCAAATCAACAACTCGACTACCTGGGAGGAGCTCAATGCCAGCGTTCAACGAATCGCTCAGAGCGTTCTTCAGGACATCCTCAATGGCAAAGTTGAATAGGAACGGAGAGATAGGGCATCCTTGTCGAACTCCACTGGAGACCACAAAGGTAGGCGAAAGCATGCCATAAGCCCTAACCCTGCCCGAGGTCAGACTGTATAGAGCGCGTAGTATGGAGACGAACTTCTCGGGGACACCGTTCCTCAGAAGGCACTGCCACAGTACTGTACGATCGACAGAATCGAAGGCTGCACGGATATCCAGGAACACAGCAATCGTTGGCCTCTGATACACATGGCGGAGCTCGAGGATCTGGCGAAGTGTGAAGATTTGATCGATGCAGCCGCGACCAGGGCGAAAACCCAGCTTGTTCTTCTCGTTGCAACGATTCACGTGTTGGGGATAGCCTGCGAAGTATGATGGACCCCAGCAGCTTGCAAACGACGGGGACTAAACTTATTCCTCTGTAGTTGGAGCAGATTGTGCGCAGGCCCTTTTTGAAGATGGGTACGATTATCGATTCACCCCAAGATGATGGAACGTTCCTCTTCGACCAAATTTTCGAGAACAAAACGGTGAGTTCTCGGACCAGCGATGCGCCACCAGCTTTAAATAAAGCTGGGTGAAGACCATCAGGGCCGGGAGCTTTATAACGCTTCAGGTGCCGGAGCTCCTGCTCGATTTCCTGGGAAGAGGGAGGGTCTGTTGGAGTAGACCACTCTGCCCCAGCGCGAGCGCCAGAGGTAGCAGATGGAGCTGTGGGCCAACAAAACTGGGAGCCAAAATGTTCGGCCCATCGCTCCAACCGTCGTTGAAGATTGGTGATTAAGGTGCCATCCTCTTCGCATATTGTTTCACTTACACCAGATCGAACACCTTCGGTGACTCGAATGAGATGGAAAAGTTTCCTGGTATTACCACAAAGACTAGCAAGCTCCATCTCCCTAGCACGTTCACACCACCAAGCTTCGCGGTCCATTTGCAGACTCCTGCGCAACTCTCGACCAAGGTATTGGCGTTCTTCAACGTGTCTGGAATCCGATGGGATCAAGCGGCGTCTGTCCATCAGCTACAAGGAGTCGGCGGAAATCCAATGTTTCGGTGGGTGACGGGTAAGTCCACAAGTGTCGATACTGGCGGAAACTAACGCATCTTTGATATGCGCCTACTGCGAATCGAGATCACCGTCAATAGTTGAGCCAAGCAAAGTTGACAGTGAGGCTTGGTACCTGGTTAAAACCGCAACGTTTTGTAGATTCGCGACGTCCGGTCGGTAGGGGGCGCGCTTAGGTGATCCTCCGAAACGCATGCAAATCTTAGCACGAACCAATGCGTGATCAGAGTCTAGAAAAGTTGACCAGTACGATCGGCAGTCGCGTTACGCTTCCGCGCCATCTGTAGCTGATTTCTATGTGGTCAAGCTGGGAGCACTCTTGCGTTTGTGAGGGCGGGCGCCAGGTAGCAGTCTGTCTCCTCGAGTGTCCGAAAAGCTAGTGCTCGAAAGAAAACAAGCGATGATCAGAGCAAAGAGCAAGCAGTCTTTCTCCATTGTCTGATCGACTGCCACCGAGACCAAAACTACCCCTAATGTGGTGCTCGCTTGGTAGAAGGCGGCCAACCCGTGCGTTAAAGTCCCCGGCAAGAATGACTATATCCGTCCGTTTGGAGGAACTCAGAAGTTCATGTAGTTGTTGGTAAAAAAGCTATCTTTAACTGCATCCGGGCTGCAGTCTGTAGGGGCGTAGGCGGAGACGACAATAAAGGCACGCTTAACATCTCGACGCCTGCTTACGTTACATGAACCTGCTAGTCTGACTGCACATAGTCGGCTGTTGACTGGGATCCAGTCAAGCAGAGCTGACTTCAGCCTTGGCACTTAATACAACCCCAACACCAGCTTGACCAGTGGCGGCAGATTCTGGGTCTCCGGAAAGCCGCAAGTAGTATTTGGCGTCAGAGTTTACCGGAGAGGCCATTCTGATGACGGCACTAGAGTCTTGTAATCTGGTCTCTGAACGACAACAGATGTCTACCGATAGCGTTTCAAGAGTACGGGCCAGACATGCTTGTCGTCCGATTTGCATCAAAGTTCGAACATTAAACGCTTCGAGGATGAATGGAGAATCAGGTCGAAGAAGAGCTGGAGCTTCGGTGCAGTGAGAGGTGGTTGCGATCGCAGGACATTGAAAACCGGGAGTTTGGCTGTTACTTCCATCAGCTGCGAGACGTGGGTCGTTTGTGACGGTGACCGTAGAAGACCACGAGTACATGTAGGTGAAGGACGGTGAGGTGGGGTGGTCTGTGCGTGGACGTTGAGCGGTTGAGTTAAGACAGAGAGCAGGCGCATAGCCAGTGAGTAGTAGTGAGCGGTGTAGTCCCTCTGATTCGTCAAGCGGCGAGCTACTACCCGGTTGCCCAGCTGGCCCACCCAGCCCGAAGACGAGCCCGCCCGCCCCCGGCCCACCGCCGCCCGAGCCCCCGAAGTAAGTCCTCGACCCCGAACCCCCCGACGCCCGCCGAACGTAGCTCCCGCGCCCCGCCGCCCGACCCCCCAGAAAGTATACCCCCCCCCACCGGCCCCGCCGGAACCCCACCGAACCCGAAACCCCCCCCGGCGCCTCCCCGAAGCCCAGCCCCCGACCCATCCCCGACCGCCGAACCCCGAAGGCCCGAACCCCCCCCCGCCCCCCCGAACTCCCCGACCGACCCCCCCCCGCCCGCCCCCGCCGACCGAGCCCCCCACCCCCCCCCCCGACCGCCCCCCCCCCCGACCCCGACCCCCCCCGACCGAAACCCCCGCCCCCCCCCGACCGACCCGCCCCCCCCGACCCCCCCCCGACCGACGACCCGCCCGCCCCGCCCGACGCCGACGGCCCCGCCCCCGCCCCCCCCCCCCGACCGCCCGCCCCCCCGTCCGCCTCCCGCCCCCGACCCCCCCGACCGCCCCCGGAACCGCCCCCCCCGCCCCCCCCGCCCGCCGACGCCGCGACCCCCCCCCCCGCCCGCCCGACCCTCCGCCGACGCGACCCCGACCCCCCCGCCCGCCCCCCGTCCGCGACCCCGCCCCCCCGACGCCCCCGCCCCCCCGTCCCCCCCCGAGCCCGCCCCCGCCCCCCCCGCACCCCCCCTCCCCCCCCCCGACCCCCGCCCCCCCCGCCCGCCGACCCCCCCCGCCCCCCGGCCCGCCCGCGACCGACCCCGCCCCCCTCCCCGACCCCGCCCCGCCCCGACGAACCCCCCGCCCGCACCGCCCCCCGGACCGCGGACCCGCCCGCCGCCCCCCGCCCCCGACCCGACCCGCCCCCCGACCCCGCCCCCCCCCCCCCCGCCCCCCCCCGGCTCCCCCCGAGCACCCCCCCCCACCCCGCCCCGCGCCCCCCCGAAGTAGAGGGTTGTCTTAGGGGGCCCTACCCCGAGCCTTTGATCAAAGATCTAACCTACAAGGCAGCAGGGCGATGTGAGGGCGTCGCAACCCGTTGGGAGCCGGTGACCAAGTAGATGGTTCATACGCCTTTCGGTCCGTGAAGGACCAGGGGCCCAACTCACCCTTAAAGTACAATGCCTCTCAGGGAGGGGCAAGGGGCAGTGACTTTATTTAGTGGCGAGTCACATCCGCCACGTCGCAGTGTTGTTAAACGGACATATGTGGCTTTTTATAGGGAGAACGCTTGCCAGGCGAAAACCCACCACGTCCTGGAACACTGCCGCCGAACCATTCGCTGGAACGGGAAAATCCCGAACCACCCAGCTGGCACCATGAGGAGGTTGTTCGGCAAGCCAGCGAAATGTGAAAGTTTAGCCCCAACGGTCACAGAACAAAAGGAATTGACCGCTAGCTTGGTAAAA